CCGCTGCCGCACCTTTTCTGTCTTGCCTTTGCGGTCCGGGGACGGCGGCGGCGGCGGCGCCGGCGGCGGCGGTGGCGGCGGCGGCGGCACGAACCCGTCCGGCCGCTCCGGGGGTGCTGTTCCCGCTGCTCTCGAACACGCCGTCGCTCCAGACGTTGGTGTTGCCGCCACCGTCGTCGCTGTGGTCACTGTTGTCGGCGAACGCGTCGCAGTGCTGCCGGCTGCCGTAGACCCTCCCGCCCGGGATGGAGGGGGCCTCGTCGCCGTGGAGGCTCGACACTTCGCCGCCGGCGACGCTGGTGTCGCTTGTGTCGCCGCCGCTCCCGGAGGTCGGGCGGGAACCCGAAAACACGGTCGAGGACGACCACAGCGAGGACGACGAGAAGGACGACGAGGACGTGCCGTCCCCGCTGTCCGAGGAAGAATAAGAGCAAGAGGAGGAGTTGGAGGAGGAGGAGAAGGAGCCCGAGGAAGAGTAAGAGTCCGACGGGGTCGTGTTGCCGCCGCCCTTCTCCTCCTCCCCCGAGCGAGAGGCGGAACGCGAAGACCTCCTCAAGCTCGACCCCGACTTGCCGCTGCTGCCGCCGCTGCCTTTGTCCCCACTCGGGCCTGTGCGGACGTCTCGTCCTCTTCCACCACCGACGCCGCCGCTGCTGCCACCGCTGCCGCCACTGCCGCTCAAGCCGCCGCTACCGCCGATGACCCTGCCGCTGTTGTTCCTCAGCACCCTTTCGGAGGTGGCCGCGGGGTAAGACATCGGCCGCTTCGTCGACTGCCGGTCCGCCCCGCGAGACTTCCGAGTCGAGTGAACAGTGCCGCCCCCGCCACCGCCGCTGCCACCGCGACCTGATATTTCGCTGCTGCCCGTGCCGGCTCTCCCCCTGCGAAGCCTGCTGCTGCCGCTGCTGCTACTTCTCGTCTTGGCGTAGCTGCTGCCGCCCCTGCCCCCCCCCGCGACGGGGGTGGACCCCGCCCGCCTTCCGCCGGCACGTCGGGAGTTCCTCCGGACGGGGGATATTCCCTTCTTGTTGCCGCGGTTGGCGCCGCCGCTGTCTTCGGCGGGGGAGTCGAACGAGCAAATGCTGCTGCTAGAGGAATCTCCTCGCCTGAGGGCGAGAGGAAGCACGTGGGACGGAGGCGGGAGACAGCAGGCCACTCTTGATAAAAGGACTCAACGGAGTTGACGCTCATCTCGACGTCGTCGTCGCTTTTGGCGGAGAGGCCCGCCTCAGCACGTCCGTAGCACGCGCACGCTATTCGAACGGTTGAGGTTGAGAAACGGGGTGCCGTCGACATCGCTTTGCGCTTGGAAGTTGTTGAACAAAAAAAAAAGCATGTACAACTAATTGCATGCAACACGAAACACTCCATAAACATTGAAAACTTCGAGAGAGCCTCGCTGCTCAATCACCTATGCCGGCTGTTGCCCTTGCTGTACATCTCAAAGAACGACGCCAGGTGCCCCCTCCGGTAGGCCGACCCGCCGCTGCTCCTCCTCCTCCGCATCGGCGGCGCCGACGCGAACCAGGGGCCTATCCGAATCCCTCCCTGCATGCCGTCGTCCTTGCGGGAAGAAGAAGGGGGCGCCGCAGAATCAACCCCTTCCCCCCCGGGTGGCGGCGGTCCACCCGCCTCCGAAGAGACCCGCCCGATGTCCTCCTCCGGGATAGCGCCGTCTTTCCCGATGCCGGCCAGGCCGCCGCCGGCGCCGCCCCCGGCGCTCCTGCGGCGGCGGACCCCGCTGCCCCCCCGGCCACCACCGCCGGCGGCGCTGCTCCGGCCGCTGAAGCTGCCGAAGCCGCTTCCGCCGCGGTGGATCGAGCGACCTTCGCCCCCCGCCGCCGCCGCCGCCTTGCCGTCACCGCTACCGCTACCGAAGCCGTGAGAGCTGACCCGGGGCTTGGGGCCACGACCGCCGCCGCCGCCGCTCGCGAAGAAGCCGTTCCTTCCCCGGGAGTTGGGGACGCTCCCGAACAAGCTGCTCCCCCCCGCGCTGGTAACGCTGTCGAACTCCCACCAGGAGGACGGGGACATGCCGTTGCGGCGGGAGGCCGTCAGCGGGTTGTAGGAGGAGGGGGCCCCCCCGCCGCTGCCGCCGCCGCCGCCACCACCACCGGTGTTGTTGTTGTTGTTGGCGGGGCTGTTCATGTGGTGGCTGCTGATAACGATGCGGTCGCTGCTGCTGTGGCTGTTGCTGTGGCTGTTGCTGTGGCAGATGGAGACCGCGTCTCTCGCCCGTATGATGTCGTGGAGTTTGCCCAGAACCAGGTCCACTTCCGGGTGATCTGTAATCCAACATACATACAGCAACGGCGGCAGGGGCGGGGTGGAGGGGGGGTGTACTCATAGTCGTGCATGCCGTAGTCGTTTGACCATTGACCTCGCATCCCTACAAAGCCGGGACGGAGCACGCCGGGTTCTCACCGGACCAGGCTCTCACATCACCAAGCGCGAAGCGCCGTGAGGTATTTGGCGAGTCGCATGAAGGGTGAGCTGCATCCTGCTAAGGGTGTTCGGCATATTGTGATTACTTCCTTGCGTACGGTATGACAGCTACGTACTGACTTAATTTATTTTTTGGTGTTTTCACTTCCAGAGACAGTTGTAAGCACTGTGTAACTGCCTCGAGGAAGCTTGACCATTTTAACACAACGAGGTGCGATCATCCCCCGTTGCGCGGAGTGAGGTTTCTCGACCCCGCACAACATGATTTACTCGACCACCATTATGGTTACCGCAAAAAAAAAAAAAACGAGGTAAAAAAAAAAAAACGGTAACCTGGTTGCCGAGTTCACGAAGTGAATTGGCTTGTTTTACAACGTCGTTGCCAAGCGAAGAAAACCCAAACCCCGATGGCAAACACCGGGGGGGGCGGCAAGTGTTACA